GGACAGGGGTTTGGCAATGACATCCGCCATTCGATTAAAGCATTGGATACCATTTAAGCATAATCAGGCCTTAAGCATGTGAAGAAGTGGGCTTACCCCTTACACTGGCCTGTCCGGCATGTCTGCCTGGTATTTGTGTGTGTTTCTTTTTGATCCAGTGAAATACAACAGAAATTTTGCATCTTATTGAAAAAGTCCATGTGAGGAGGGAGGTGCGAGATGTTTGTTTGGACTTGAGTCTTATTTTTTCGAGTATTATGTTTTGTTGTTTTCTTTTTTTATGCCAAAACTATATGTCAGTGTTCTGGGAGTTAATCCAGTAGTCCTGGACGATGGAATCATTTTGAAGAACTTGGTGGAGAAGATTGTTTCCATGCTTTGATGTGAAAAGCATAAGTTTTAAAGAACTTCCCTTCCAAAAATGTTGTCATTCATTCCTAAATGAAGGGAAAATATTGCAGATGTAATGAAAATAGTGCGAAAATATCATTAATATAGTATTGGAGATTCAACTAGAATAATGCTACCTGTTATAATTCAAACTACTTAGAGAAAAACGTGGAAAAGAATGCAAAATACAGTCCTGCTGTGATCGCAGGGAAGGCGGCTGTCACAGTGTTTCCATCGCAGGTATTACTCAGTCGTCAGTACTCTCTTCTTGTGGTGTTTCAGGCTTTTATCTCATTTTGCACAATTCAGCCATATCTTATCCCTTTAACCTCCCTACTAGTTCATATAACTCAGTGTGATTCTGCCTGGGGAAAGATTTTAATTAACAATGGGTAAAACATAAAGGGAACAAACGGGTTTTTAAAAGCACTGCTTTGAGACAGGCGCCTGATTTTTCCATTTTGATTTTTTGCTTTATCAGGTGGTCTCTCTCTTGTTTGTTTAACTGGTGTGTATGGATGCGGGTCCTTGAAAACTTTGGGTTCTGTGCCTTCGCTTCTTGTGCACCCAGCAATCCCACTGAAGCTGGTGGGTGTTATAGGTGTACAAGAAGGGGTGAGAGATGAGGTCTCCCTCTGTCTCTCTTAGCCTTTAGCCTGTGAATTTCTAAGCAAAGCTATGGGAAATTTTCCAGAAAAAGCTCTTGGGCATACATAGGAAACAGGCCTCTGAGACGCATTTTGTAGTGTGGCAGCTGTAGGAGAGTTGAGAGTGTAATTTCACATGACATGATTACGGTGTAATATACTATTTTGGTTCTCCTGGTCTGTATTGCTGCGTCGTCTTAGAATGTTTGCTTATTTCAAGCAGTCTGTACGTAAGTTTTTTTGGAAGTACCGTACTGAGATATCAAGGACAATGAAGCTGACATTGTGAGAGGTTGAATACTTCTGCAGAGTTGCACTGCTTCAAAGCCTACATGAGGCTGGGGTGGGTGTTCACCTTTCTTTTCCTAATAAACTAAATTCCTGATGCTGGCCATGCCCAGGCCAATTAAAATGGCCATTTTCAATGGAAAAATCTGTGGTGTACTAACCCTGAAATGAGTGGTCTCAGCTTTTGTTTTGATCTGCAAAACCTGTAAATAAGTGGACCAGCTAAGGCAGGAGACCCTATGGGTCCTGATTCAGCTGACTGTTTGAGGTGCCTTGAGTTATCCTATGTGGCCTCCAGCTGTAGCTCCCACAAGGAATGCATCTCCTTGTAGACCTGTATCATAGCTGCTGATGCTACGTAGATGTTTTAGATAGGCTAGAGTGTCTCAAATAGCTCTTGCCATCAGTGGTCAGGCAGCTGAGGGAAACTGTATTTCTTCTGTTCCTGCCACTCAGTCACTGTGATGGGCTATGTTTTTATTTTTTTTAGTGGGCTAACAGAGTCTGTGATACTGAGTGAATCACAGTAAGGGGAATTAATAACTTTCTGGAGGCTACAAAAAGTTTTTCAAGTTTTCGCTTCCAATCAATTATAAATTTGTGGGATTTGTTGTGATTTATTTCCTCTGCTACTATTTCCCACCAGTTTAAATCTGATCTGAGAACAAAACTTGATGCTTCCTGTACAGTCAGAACACTATAGGTCTGTTGTAACACAGTGTTACCAATGCGTGTCTGGGATGAGATACAGAAATAAATAGCTGTGCATTGTTTAAATATAGAAATAAGAATATTTCCATATTTGAATAAATAAATAAGATTAAATTAGAAACAGTCTGGGGACAGCCCATGCCAGGCTCTGTGTGCCAGTGCAGAGTGTTAATCTGTGATTCTGTGCTCATCTTTGAAAGACTCTGTTGCTTTGGAGGAAATCTGTAGAGTGCCAAAAGCCAGTGACTTGTGCCATTGCTTCAAGTGTTATTGTATGTTGAGCTAGGAATATGCTGTACATTCTTAACTGAAATGTGTTTGTCTTTGTTAGTGTGTTTTCATTGCCTAGCTGTACTCTTATTCTACAACATTTAAGGAAAAAAATCTGATAATTCTATTCAATAGGTCTGCTTTTGACCTTACATATACCGATTCTTACAGTGATTGTGAATCCATTGACTTCAGACACATTACTCCTGATTACACCAGGGTCGTCACATAATGAGGGGCCAAGGTATTAAATGGAAATGAACCCAATAAAGCCATCAAGCTCAGACCTACTCTGTCCTCACGTGCTTGATCTGAACAATAAGAACTGGTGATTTATAAATCATGTTGTCTGTTTACTTCTTTGTCATTTAATTCTTTTTTTTTCCGTTGAATAAATGAAGATGTTCTGACCTTAACTCATCCCTTGTGAATTTGTTTGAAAAAAGCAGGATAGCTGTACCCCTTAAATGTGACTCAAGCTTTTGTTCAGATTTAGTGAGCGTCATCTTATTTTTTTAAAGGAAACACATTTCACTTGACCTCTAGGATTTGGCAGGACTTGCTGCATCCTCTTTTTCATGACTTTATCTTCATGGCTTATTTTTTTTTCAATATTTTTCTACATTTTCAGAAGGAAGACTGGCCAATGCACAAGCTAGAGTGTTCCGCCATGTGCGCTTTTGGGCAGAACTGGAATCCCTCAGAGACCGTGAGGCTGACAGAGAGGATCCTTGCCAAACAGGTGAGCAGGAGGCTAGACTTGAGAGGTATGTTCCTACTCTGGGTGCCAGGGAAAGCAGGAAAATGAAAATTGACCGACAGTAGCTGTTCCTGCAAAGCACGTATATAGTAGCTTCCTGTGTATGGACGGATGTATATGGAGCATGAGCAGCTGAACGAGCTGACCATCAGACCGCTGCGGCAGTGTTAGGGCCACCATAGACCAGCTGGAGACTTTTGGGGTAAGACTGCAAAAAGCTAGTGAGGTTTTAAGCTGTGTAGCTGTGACTTACGGCCAAGGTACTGTTGAACAGAGTCTGGAAAAGTTTACTGATTGTAACACCATGTGCATGATGTTTCAGCCTCCATTCTGGTAGAGTGGAGCTCTTGGTTACATGTGTGGGCTAGCAGCAAGGCCATCTTGGTGAAGAGAAAGAAGAATGAGACTTGGTATATGTGATTGAATTCTGAGGAATGCTCCTAGGGTTATCTGTCTGCAGGCACTGATGTCTTTAAGCAGCAGTTGCCTGTTGTACTATTTTTCAGCTGTAGCTGTGTAGCATTGTGTAGTATATAACTCTCAGTACGTTTCTGAGTCAAGAACAGCTCTGAGGTATTCAGATGTAAATGTTTATGATTACTGGAGGCAACTGGTCAAAAACAGAGATTGAGAGAGAACTCTCAGGCCCTTGGTCTTTGGAGAAAGAGTGTGTTATTAGTAAGGAAATAAGATTGCAATGTCAACCTCTGTTTCAGTGTTCCCTAACTATGCAGATACTGAGGGTAACACAAGTGCTTACAGGCAGGGGCAGGATTCATGAGTTTCAAGGTTATCATGCTGTATATCTTTGTAGAGCTCTAAACTCTCTCTGCAAAAACAAATCCTCTTTGAAGCATATTTGTGTGATTGAGGTCTGCTTATGTGACAAGGGCAACCTGGATACTGTATATAGTGAGGATTTTGGTGGCCTGCTGGGAAGGTAGCTGCAGACTTGCTCTCTGTGTGTGAATGTGTGTGTGTGACTTAATTAAAGTGTGGTTTAGTGGTGATCCACAAACAAAATCGAATGTTTAATGGCAAAAAGTCATTGGAATAAATTTGTGCTTTTATCGCTTACAGGGAGGGGGGAGAACCCTACATGTCATATAAAAGCTAAATATGCAAACCATAGTCCCTGAACCTCAGCTGCTGGGCCACCTGCAAAGCCATATTTAATGGCCAAGATTACAAAGAAGTGGCCTTAGGCCAGCAATGGAGCATTGCTTTTGAACTCTGTCAACAGTCAGTTTATTCACTTTCCTCAAAGCGAAGCCTGTCTCCTGCCTGCTTGCTATTGTTAGAAGCTTTCTGGGTGTCTAGAACAAAGCAAATGACATATTTAAAATACTGTTCAGTTTATGTATATAAATTTGATGGGAGTTAATCTTTGGCTGCCTAATTTGTTGCAGAGAGAATATTTCTATGGCTTTACTAAAGGTAATCAAATTAACTCATTGCTGTTCATCAATGTCTGTAAATTCCATATAATGTGGATTTGGGTTTGTTTTACAAGTAGGAGTTCCCAGCTTACAAATGTGTAGACAAAACTGCCTACTTAAAACATTAAAATATTTTCTTGTGGTTTTTTTTTCCTGTATTGCTAGAAAACTCATCCTGAAAGAACACAGTCGGAGAAGCTGCTTGCTGTTAAAGAGTTTGAATCACGTAAGTAAAAAAGGCTTGCAGGTAAACAGAGGCAGTTATCTGTATTCATGATTTGCTTTACCCCCTGGCCCCCCTCCATCAAAACCTTTCAGAGCATCCCTTCTGTTGGAGGAAGGGAGTAAACAAAGAGAATTGTGGTTCCTCGTTTTTTTAAAGTGCAGTGCTCTTATTTCTTTCTTTTTTTTTTTTTTTTTTTTTCCCCTTGGTTGCTTATGGGGGCTGTGAAACAAGGGTGAAAACCTAGACAGAATTAATTATGTTGCATACATCCATCTCATGGCTTTTCTGGTACTCTGGTGTCTTTTGAGAATTGTAATGTTGTAAAATTAAAATAGCTGGTATTTGTTACCAGGAGGCATAAAATCAGAGACAGCACAGTTGCTTGATGGTGACAGTGACTAAGGGGCTAATTGCAGAACCCTCTGGACTGTGCTTCAGTATCTGTCACTGCCAGTCAAATCTGACATGTTGTATATGATTGTGTTGAAATTCCGTGTCCTAAATGCTCTAAAATAATCCAAGGAAGGAGATGAGGCAATGGCTTGCTTTTAACTAGAAGGCTACTGTTTACGTTCAGTGAGACAAAGTTAGAAATGGAGCAGCTAAGGGACTAGTAACCATTCTGGCATAGTTTTCACTAGTCTGTCGATTCTCTTTCTTGGTGCTGGGGGGCAATGTACAAGGAGACGTTAGGTTTGTATATTCACATTTCTCGCTCTGATGGTTTCCAAAACCCTTTACAAAATGCTGAATAAATGCAGTCATTGCTAGGACTTGAGGTAGCAGAGTAACCAAGCACAGCAAGATTACAGTCTTATTTGCTTGCTGGACAAAAGCTTCTGTCTCAGCTGTTCGGACAACTGGGGAAATACGGGGGAAAAATGCCAACATTTGTCTTTGCCTAAGGCAAGGAAAATTTTTACAGGTAGGCTAGTAGGATTGAGGTTGAGGAGGATGGGTAAGTGCTGAAGTAATTTCTGTAAATTTTTCTACATTGCAACTTGTCTTCAATAATTTATTAATTTGGGAGCTAAAAGACTGGAATGTTTTTCTGTTGCAATGTTCCCTTTGTCCTCTAGGAGTCCTTGTTTTCGTTTTGGTTTTGTTGGTAAGAACCCCTTGTTCCTTTTGCCTTGTTGACTCTCCTCATCACTTAGCACACTTTTGCCATGTTCAGCAGCTGCCTTACTCTTTGCAGCACCCTGCACAGGAGAGGAAAAGGCACCTGGCTGTCAGTTGGAAGCTCAAAATTTCTTATTTCTGATTTGTCCTAATTCTCATCAAATTGTCCCATTTCATTTTCCTTCAGTGTTTTTGTGACTCTATCATTCACGTCTGCTCTTAGAAATAGTTTCCCTCTTCTTCCACTGTTTTGCAGCCTTTTCTCTTCCTGCATGTTTTTCTCTCCACTGTTTTTTTGAGTTGGAGAGGGGAAACTGATGCTCTTTAGAGCAGGATTGAGCTGGTGTCGCTGCCACTGTGAGAAAGAGGACTAGGAAAAAAAACTTTCCAACATTCTGCTCTTGAGAGAGAAGGGATCAGGACTATGTGGTCGAGCACTTAGCTTGCTCTGCATGAACCAGGCAGAAAAAAGGTTCAGTAGCCACAGCTTTGACTAGAACCTGTCGTGGGCCTGAGGGTAAATCTCTGAACAAACCCCGAAGGGAATACACTTGGCAAGTGTGCCAAGACATTTCCACTGATGTTCCTACTGTCTCCTATTATCTTCTGCAGCTTAAACACATCTCTGTTGATGGTCACCCTCCAGCCCATGGAGACATGGGCATTCTCAGGTAGCTCATAAAGTCATGTTAGATAGCTGAGGATAGCTGCTGTCTAACAGCAGCAGTGGACAGGCTTCTACAGGGCCAGGACTGGCTGGTGTGTTTGGTGTGGTTAACAAATGCATTTTGAACACTGTAACCCTTCTCCCAGGAAAGGGAAACTTGTGTCTCATTGCCTGCTAATGTACAGATGTTAGAAAATGCTTTTTAATCCTGCATGTTCTTGTAGTGCACGTGTGGCTTTAGCAGAAGCAGTATTACATTTATGGGAGAATAGACACTTTTTGCAGTACTTCCAAGTAGCTGTTGCTTGAGGGATTTCTGTTCAAGTCTGGGCCTGTCCTAATCTAAGTCTAGCTGCAGTTCACAGAGGAGTGTTACTGTTACTGAAATGGAATGTATTCTTTGTCCACAGACCTTGACAAACTAGACAATGAAAAGAGAGAGCTGATTCAGAACGACATTGCTGCTCTTCATCACTTTTACTCAAAGCACTTGGAGTACCCTGACAATGCTGCCCTTGTAGTTCTCTTTGCACAAGTAAGTTGGCTAGAACGCAGCCTGCTTAGGTGGATGATGCTGTAGGAGTTCAGTGTTTGTGAAAGGGGAAAAATGTTGACGGCAATGGAAATAGTAGCTCTTTGCTTATCTTAGGGAGAGCTGAGTGTGCTTGTTGGAGAAGATCTGCTTCCTTGACTAGAAGTGGCTGGACATGCCCCATTTCAGTAGCAAGGGGAGAGACTCTTGTATGCAGACCTTTTGAGGTGCTTCTCAAACACTGAAGAAAAGGGAAAATAGCGTGTATAAGACTCTGTCAAAGTTAGGGTTCTTGTGAGCCAAGCATAGTGCAGCTGTTGTTGGACTTAACGTGGAAGGCTGCTGGTTTGAGACGCTGCAGAGACAAAATGTTCATTCAGGCTTCAAACTTGTGGAAAACCTTGCTGGTCAGGTCATCGTTGTGTTTGACCTTCACAGGGAGTAAACTTCAGAGAAGTAGAAAGAGCAGTCTGAAACTTTTATCTGGTGTGTGGCTTTTAAATGCAGTCAGGTAGTTTGGTTGTCTGGAGAGATGAAGGAAAGGCAGGATGTCTTCTTAGATAACTTCTGAAATCCGTCCCTTTTTTTTTTCTCTCACCTGCTTTTCATACGCATCTAAATTGAATGTATTGTAGTGGATGGAATAGCACACCAGTGGAGATCCATTTTCTTATTTTTCACACGCTGAGAGATCCATTTTCTTATTCTTCCTCCCGTACTTCAAAATAAGCTAGTTTTAAACTTAAACGTCTGAGTGAAAGGTGTAATTTTTTTTAGATGGGGCAAATGTTGACTGCTGGGGTGAAGGCTGAGATGGCAATACTCTGGTTGGTAGAGCTGGGCATCTACCAACAAGGAGGCACAGTTACTATTACCTTAATATACAGCTATTGTTATTCTGTAAGGGAGTGATTCTTTAGCATGATTAGCATCTGCTCATCAGCCATTGTGTTGTCCCTAACTATAGATTACCCTTCAAAGAAAAGTTTTTTTCTGTTTTGAAGACTACAGTTTATGTTCATCAGAGGAATATTTTAAAAATATCAATACATCTAGTTTCTTGTGATATTTCTGAATATTTTTGTTAGAATGTAGCCAGAATCCCCAAAGATTACATTATTTTGGCCCTAATGACTTTTGCTTCATGTCCTGTCCTGGACCAGCTCCACCAGATCATGGTACTTTAACTGACTTCTGTGAACTGCCGGCTCCTGGATCTGATGTTCCATCTGATCTTCTCTGTAGATGTCTAATGCTGCCTTTAGGTGTCACCTTAAGCTCATTGTGATCATCAGACAGCTATCTGCTGCTGTGGAGATTGCAGTTTTTTCAACTAAAATCTCCAAAAGCTATCTGGATGCTACTCAGAAGTGTTTTACAGGACACAACCTTTTGACGTTTTAGCTCCAGCATAAATCTTTCTAGAAGGGGAGGCATGGCTGTGCTTGATATGTACAAACACATTTCCTAATAATTAGTTAACTTGACCTAAAACCAATAGTATGGATATGCTGCTGCTTCTTCATTTTGCTTCATCACTTCTTGCGGCCTCATGTTGTCTGCTTTGCTTCTGCATCAGCATTCTTTCTCCCTGTGGCTCAGGGCAGTCGTTTGGGACTTGGATACATCTGATTACTTGCTCACTTCTTTTTGTGGGCTTCGTCTGATGTTGTTTCTTACTCAACACAGCTAAGGTGTAGTTGGTCCTTTTGAGTAGAGCAAAGATTTTTGTCCAAACCATCCTTGTCTTTCATTTCTCTCTTCCTCAGCTGTTGGTATCATTCTACTCTCTTGTCCCTGTGGAACATTAGCTCTTGAGACTGGTGCTCTTCCTGATCAGTCTCACCTTGTCGTACTCTTCAAACAGTTTCTCTTTTGTCTCAAGTTCCAGTGTCTTATCCTGTCCTTGAAGACCTTGCATAATTTTGATTCTCCCTTCGCACGTTCTCTTTTCCACACGTCTGAGCTCTAGTTTTCTCGCTGTTGTCTCTTTACTCCCTTCACATTGCCTTTTTTAGTCATGCATTCATCTGGTGAAACCAGTGGTATCTCATCCTCTCTAATTCTTCCTCTTGTGTCATTCCTGGTGTGATGCATTCAAGAAGGGGGTTGTCTCTGGCTTAGTAGAGGGGAGTTGATGATAACTCACTACATATTTTTAAATATTTCCCTGTGATTCAGAACCATCAAGCTGTTCTTCATGTCAGCCTTTGTAGCCTTATGTTCTTACTTGCTGTTGATATAATCTTTCTCTTCTATTGTTTTTGTATTTTGTAATTACGTTTTGGTTTTGGTTCAGGTATGCTCATACATTGGCTAGTGCAGTAGCATGCTCATCTTGGGAGACAGGGAGCCTTTGGATGCTACCTGGCTAAAAATAGCAGGATAAAAATCAAGCAAAGATACTGGTGAGTGAATCAGAGAAACAGGACATTTTTCTTAATTGTGAACTCATCCTGAACAGTTCATACCTAAGGAGTGGCTTTGGGAAGTATTTATGTATTTTCTAAAATCTAATCCGACCTGCATTCCAGCTTGTGGGGCATATTGTTGGTAGTGTTTGTTGTCAACTCTTGCCCTTCCAGAACAAGTACTTACACTGTACTTGATTGACTGTTCCTGTGCCCATTGTAGCTTCAGCTGGACTTGGCTACATGACAGTAGTTGTTTTAGTGCTTTTCTGGTGCTTCTGTGAACGTTTTGATGATTGCAGGGAGATGTTGGTGAACGTGGAGATGATTCTCTTTATGTTGGCACATATGTGACTCACAGTGAAAGCAGAATAAAGTACTTGGTTGAGGTGCGCTTTGGTCACTTAAAGTCACACAAACCACATGAAACAAAGCTGAAACTGCTGTAAGATTCCTGTGTTTCGTGAGAATAAACGAGGGAGGTTTCAAAACCTGCTTGAATCTAGTCTGTAAGAAAAATTTGTGAACAAGATCTTTTGGTCCCGTGTCTGTTTAAATTAGGAATACACTTCCTCCATTACTCTATCCTTTTTCTGTCCCCTCCTATTATATGTCTTTATTAGGTTCAAGTCTTTCTCACTGCCTTTTTTGTTCTTTATATGTGCTTTAGCTGTAGCTGATACGTGCAGCCCTGGATGACAGATGTCACTGTGGCAAGACTCTGTGACATACGCTCCATTAAAGCTCTGTAGTGCCCGAGCCCGAGTTTGCCACTGTTCATCCCTACGTTGCTCCTTGCGAGCGTAGTTCTGCTTTGGCCCTTTATTCGTCGTGGCCAAACGAAGTCTCTTTGCCTTCTTAGTGTCAGGCTGTGTTTTGTGTTTGCAATGATCTTGCTTTGTCTGACGTTTTCTAGCGTTCGTTTCAAGCTCCATTTCTCTTGGTTGGCATTCCAAGGAGCAGTCCCCTAGATGTTGTGTCCTGAGCAGAAGCAATCATTGGACTGTCAGTTCTTTAGTATCCTGCACATTCCTTTGGATAGGGGCTTTGTCCTCACTTCACTTTTTGAGATGTCATGTAGCTCTCTGCTTGTACTGGTGAGATGGAAAGAAAATTGTAAGCAAATTGCTGCAATTGACTTTAAAGTATGAGAATGGGACATGTGAGTGTGGAGTACTTAGCTAACCAGAAGCTGAGCTAGTCTCTTTCTCTTTTTCCTTAGGTTAACTGTAATGGCTTCACGATTGAAGATGAAGAACTCTCTCATTTGGGATCAGCCATATTTCCTGAGTAGGTTGATTTTAATGTTTTGGGTTTTTTTAAAATAAAAATAAATTAGGAAAAACCAAACAAAGGTTCTTACACATGTATGGAAGTAGATCTATACTGAAATAAATTTAATTAAACATTTAATATTAATTTGTCTTATTTAAAATATCTTTAGCTAATATAGCCAATGATTTGCAGCAGCTTTTCTTAAAAATATGGTAATTTTGGTTAAAATGTACTTGTAATTTGTTTGAAGTTTAGATTGTGAACTATATGCAGGTCGGTAGGAAGCAATTACTTACTTGGCTAGCAGGTTCTGGACAGGAACATCATGTAATGATCAAAGTGAAATGAAAAGGGTTGCAGGTGACTTTCTCTATTCACAACTTTCTGTTTTGGATGGGTATAATCCTTCACTGGTGTTCTCTGAACAACATCCTTTCTACCTTTGTTCCTTTGCAAACAGTAAACTCCTTTCATAATTTCTTTCAGCCTCCTCAGATGCTTTAAAAACTGTGATGCTTTATGTTGCTATGACAGTGGAAAAAACATGTACAAGCACCTCAGCTTTACAAATAAACTGCAGATGTGAAGTGTTAACTGCAGTTTGTGGGTGAGGACACACAGCTCGCTGTAAGGCTGAGGAACACTTCTTCCATTTAAGTCTGTTCTTCCCCCTTAATGTTGTAGCAAAGTAGGATATTTTCTGCCCTTGTTCTTTGCAAACCCCATACTGAAAGTATTATCACTGTCTGCTTAGGTTGACTTCCGTGCGAGGCATAGTTTACTAGTAGCTTATCTGTGTCAAAGTAATCTGAAACTCACAAATGCCCAATTAAAGCAGGACCTGATGTTGCTAAGTGCTGTATACAGACAGTAGTAGATAGTCCTTGCTTCACAGATTATCCTTCTTGAGGCAGGTCTCTCTGAAGTCCATATTCCTGATCTACAGATTGGAAATTAAGGCCTTGAAGTGCCCTGGATCAGAGTCATGGTGGAGAGAGGAGAGTATTAAACCAGGATGTTCTGGAAATGTGTCCAACACCATCCTTTGTTTGTAAATGCTCAGCATGCAAGAGACAGATCTTTCCTACTTATCAGTTATGCCTGTGAGCTAAGGACTTAAGAAACAATTATTATTTTGCTAGACTGAAAGAGAAAGAATTAAAATCAATGTTTTATTTCAAATAAGCAGCAAATTGCACTTTCTCCAAGCTCGGTAGTAAGGGGGAGTACTTTTCTCTAGCAGTCCAAGTTTTTTGTGGAAGTCATGTGCCTGTATAACAGACACAGATCTCTTCCTTCCCACTTCAAACGTGGAGGCTGTGTACGTTTGCATAGAAGCCAGCTAAAATTTTAACACGCATCTTAAATTGCGATGCAGCTAATGACTTTTCCTGTATTTGCTTGTTTCTTTTAGGTTAAATGTGTTTCTCTTTCTTTCTCCTCCGAGGAGAATAGTCTGTCTGTCATAGGTACATAAATAGCATCCTGATAGTTAAGGTATGTGAACACCCGTCAGCTGTCCCGTAGCACTATAAGAATGGGAAAATAATAACTTGCCTAGTCCTGCAATAATAGGATTTAAAAATTGTAATGATTCATTAGCACAGCCATTCTCCATATCATTAGAATAAATAACAGTACAACAGATTTTCCCAAGGTTACCTTCCTGTTAAGGCGCAGAACAAAAAGAGCTTGCAGAGACTGACTGGTTTTGCAAAGCGGTGCTTAACTTTTTGCCTGTTGCTTGTGGTGGTGGGAAAAAGGTTTACTTTTCTGCTTTTACAGTGTTGCATTGATGAACCATAGCTGTTGCCCAAATGTGATTGTCACTTACAAGGGGACCTTGGCTGAAGTCAGAGCTGTTAGAGAGATTGAGCCTGGAGAAGAGGTAAACGCACTGTTTGACTGTACTCTGTCCGCACGCATCCTAAAAGTAAGATCCGTCCTGCCTTTCAGGATTCTTTTCAAATAAAAGACAATTTAATAATAGGGAGGAAGAATCTCTTGTTTCTCAGAGAAGTGTGAGATGTTGCTTTGGAAAAGTGGTGGTGGCTCTGGAAGACTGAAGTGATTCTTGGAGGCAGCGTGCTATTTTGTGGTGAAACAAGGGAAGGGCACCTGCAGCAGTCACTGTGTGTCTGCCAGCCTCTGTCTCAGTTTACCCATCTGTAAAATGAAGCTGAGTTTCCTGATGTTTGACTGGTGCTTTGAAATTCCAAGATCAAAGCAAGTTATTACTGCTAGAATAGTTCCCAGTATAATAGTAATATATTGAAATTGAAGTCAGAATAAATGGGGTAAATGGGTACAGATAAGTCCTCTGACTTCTGTTTGGATGGAGCATCCACAAAACATGGGACCCGGTCATACCACTTCAGCAGCCTTTGGATGGGAAGTCACAGAAGAACAAGAGTCTGAGTTTTAAGTGGAGCGAAGCTCAACAGTGATGGATAGAATTCTGTGAAATTGAATAAGGCTCTTGGGTTTACCTTGAAACTTTCTCAATCAAATAATGAACTTGGCAGGGAGTCTTCAGCAGCAGCGCTGCTTTTTGCTTTTAAAAAAAGGAAAAAGATGTTAAACAGAGTTGAGGAGGATGTTCAAATATCTGCAGGGGATGAAGATACGGAACAGTCTCTCTGGAGATGGACTTTGCATAGAGTTTCAGTGGCTCATTTGTTAATGTTAATTTAAGCAGGCAAGGCTAGTGCTGATCAAAATAAGCAGTTTCGATTTTGATAACTCCTACGGCTTTCTGAAATACACAATAGCAGTTTCGAAGAAGGGAAGAGGGGTTGTTTGTGTGGATTATAGCCATTTCCCATTGTGAACAAAGTGAGTTTAGTTGCTGGAGCTAAGAGTGAGTGACTGAAATGAGCAAATTCTCTTTATACCATTTACTAACAATGATTTGTCTGTGATTTTGGCAGTCACTGCATATGCATTGTGATAGTGGACAAGGACCGATCTCATTTTTGGAATTTTACTGTGGAATCCTGGACGTTTTCAGCATTTTTGGGGAGTAATTACAGTGAGAGGTGGAAGTGAGGAGTACTTACCTTGCTTGGCATCGTCTTTTGATGGAATTGGTTTTTAGAAGCTGCATCGGTTCTACAGGACCTCATGGCTTTTGTGCAGTTGCTCTTCTGACACTTCAGAATTGTATGAATGTGGGCTAGTGGTTTTGCTTGGGGTCTGTGTGGTCTTACGGCCTGTGTCTCCATCTTCAGGCTCAATGTAGCCATTGCATCAGAATATTTTTAAAAGTTTTTGCTGTAAATGCAGTTCCCTCATTTTGCATGCTTTGAAAATAGGGAAGGGAGGAGAGGAGTGTGAGGGAAAGCATGAGATCACGCAGAATAAAAAGGACGTCATGTGCTGTATGAAATTATGCATACCCGTAGGTTTTACTTCAAAAAAGAAAGAGACCTTAAGCATAAAGGCTGAGCAAAAGACTGAGCAAAACATTTCAAATAACTGTAAATGAGGAAATGGAACTAAAGCTGTTCCGTGGCCTGCCAAATGATCGACTGTGCCGTGCAAATGGCATGTTTCTTGGGGAGATCTCATTCTAAAAACAGAGCATTAAAGCTAGTTGCAGGGGTTCTTTTTTGAAGATCATTGAAGTAGAGGAAAACTTAAGAATTGTGTATGTGAAGGGCCTTTAAAATGTTCAAAAGCAAGTTTTCTTTGCTTTAAAGTGTTGCTGCTGAAGTAAATCTGATATTCATTCTCCTAGAACTGGAACACTGGGCTTCTCTTCTTTTCAGAGATCTAAAGGTCTTGTCCTAAGTTTTTAAAGCTACTAGCGACTGCTGTTGCCCCAATTTTTGTAGGCTTTTAAAAGAAAAATTTGAGATTCCAGTCTCCAAAAAACCAGGCCACTGTAATTTATCCTAGGCTGGATACCGGCAATCATTATTTTTACTTCTGAAAAGTAGGCATCTCTTTGTAGTCTGACAGGAGCCTGAGATTTATGCTGTGATAGTTTCCTTATCCACACCTGAATCTTGCTTTCCTGGGTTTAAGCCAGGGAAATATTTGAGGGAAATTCCATAATGAACAGGAAAGGAAGCACCTCTCTGTCAGATTGCATTCACAAATGGCAACTCCTGATGCTGCTGAGAGGCTTGGGATGTGAGGGAGCAGGCAGGTGATGTGGCTGCAGGGATCCACAGGTTGCATGAATGTGTAGTTGTCATACTACACGTACCAGCACTAGTAGTGATATGTGTGTAGTTGCACTGGTTTTCCCTGACTGCTGTGTTTTTACCATATAGGTTTTTACCAGCTATATTGACCTGTTGTATCCCACGGAAGACAGAAATGACCGGTTAAGAGACTCGTATTTTTTTGATTGTGATTGCAGGGAGTGCGTTATGAAAGAAAAGGTAATAAAATTGGTGTGAAATATACTTGTGACTGTCAAGGCACCTACCCAGGTCCTTAGATGTAATATTCTATCTGGTTTAATTACATTTTGAAAAGTAGGATAGTAGGGGAGGGGGTGGTTTTGTTTCTCCGTCTGGAATACTTTCTGATACTCATTCTTTCCACTGTAATCATGACACATGAGGAAATTTCCTGGTAGAGGCCTATTTAAAGCTGAGCTACAAAGCAAAGATGAAAACTTGGTTAAAAGTAGATAATTATACTGTGTCTATGCTACCTGCCAAAAGGATTTAGCTTGGAACTGATTTTTTTGTAACTGTATTTTTTACCAACTCCCAGTGAGTGAATCTTGCTTGGGGTGTTTCTGGGGTTGTGCTCTGGAGCAGAGTCCTGCTGCAGTTCCCGGTTGGGACATCTCAGTCACTTCTAGGTGAAGTTATATGGCGTTGCTGGATGATTTGGAGACCCAGCAGAATCTGCAAAATGGGCTTTCCTGCAATGGCATCATATCAGTCTTCTCATGGACAGGATGGTTCTGGGTCACAGCTCCTTGTCATTTGCAGGCCAGATTTATGTCATTGCATATCACTTGGTGCCCTTCAAAGGACAAAGACAGACGTCCAGACAGCATTCCATAACACAAGGTGTTAGTTATTTTGAGGAAAAGCACTTACGGGGGAGAGAAAGGTACCCAAACCCAACAGTTACTGAAACAACTGTGTCTGTGCAACTGTTGGGACCTCCTTCAGTGGAGGTCCTGGGAGAATTGAGCTTTGTGTGGCTCATCTGTCATTCCAGCCAAGATCAGTCTGTCTGGCATTATCTGATCCTCAAGTTCCAGATCATTTTCCCCCCACTTTGACAAAGGTGTCCTTTTAAGAGCTACTTCCCAAACTGACCAGACAACCATCTCCTTCTTCTAAATGTTATCATCTTTTGCAACTTTTTTCCAAACAGTGCCCAGTATTCTTGTTTGAGGCCGTTCTGTTGATACTATAGTTCTGTTTTTCCCCACAGTTACCTTGATAATTTTGCCACTGAGTTTAACGAAGCCGGGATTTCATCTGTGATTTCCAACAACGTGCTACTCTTGGAAACACCTATCAGTTAGCCTCCTTCAGTTCTGGAAAGAGTCTCCCCTATAGCCCTCTCAGCTTGCAGATGAAGGAAAGAAATCTAGCAACAATGTGAGGCTTAAACAGCAAAAGGTTGTCTCCAGGTTGCGGCTGACTCTTCATGAAGTAGTAAGTTAGACAGAAAGATAAGAGTAAGTGGAGCTGTCCAGCAGAAATAACAAAATATGTGGAAATGTGGTTTTGTCTGTAGATCTGAAAGATCCTTTTCTGTGTTTAATATCATCACGTTTTCTACTGAACTATCACGTGGTGTAGGCCTAAGGTATTTGGGCTTTTCTAGCCTTAAAACTAAATTTGTTTCAATCTCTAGTCTCTCGGAAGCAGTGACATTTCCTATGTAGAACTGCTTTCATCACAAAATCGAAAAGGTCTTGGATCTTTTGAAAGGAAGGGACTTTGTGGAAGTAGAGAACAGCAGATAAACTGGAAAGCACACAAGAGTCTAGGAGTCTCAGCCAAGGCTTTAGAGAAAAACTGCAGGTGCATATTCTACCTTTGTTTTTACATTCTTTGAAGAGTTTAAGTTCCCATCTGTGTCCTGTTATTAGAGTAATTTTGTGTAGCAGGTGCACCTTTATTTGTAGGGCTCTGAACCTGCATTTGTAACGTCCATTGTGATTTCTTCAGGATAAAGAGAAACTGGAACTCCGCAAGCTGAATGATCCTCCATCAGCAGAGACAGTACGGGACATGATCAAATATGCCAGGAACGTGATTGAGGAATTCAGGCGAGCCAAACACTACAAATATATCTTTTGTCTCACCCTGACTCCACTGGCTTGGTGTGTGACCTAAAAATCTTAACTGCTGGATTGCTTCAGAAGTACCTGTGGGAGGACTACTGTGGCCATTAGAAGTTAAACTTACCTCTGCCCTCTTTGTGGCTGAAGAGTTGTCCCTGGAGACAAGGGGCAGCTTAATGTTGTGGGTGTTGGGGGATTGCGAGACCCTGTGTTTTTTCCTTCCTGTGCTGTTCTCGGTTTCTAAGAGCACAGCATTTGACTGTCTCCACACCACACAACGGAGACCAGAGTGAGCACAGGTGTGTGCCTGTGGTGGTCTGCTGTAATGTTGCCTGGATTTGGGAGACTGCTTGTGAGGCTGCAGCTGTTGCTGGTGGTCACACAGATGAAAATGCAACGTTTGTTGGGCCAGAAGCAGACCAGGCTATCTCATGCCTGGTTCAGTACCCACGGCGTGGGGAGTTTCAGTCCCCGTTCTTCTGACAAATTGCTGATGTGGTAGTGGTTCAAGAAAACTGCTTTTTTTTTTTTGTTGCTTTTTAAATATGAAAGCTAGTGTTTGAGTAGGAGGGGGAAACATCTCTTAAGCAGGATACCTCTGAGTGTAGAGCACCTCTCAGAGAAGCTCTGGGGTTGTAGCACAGATGCTTCCATGCCGTTTGAGAGAAAAGAGGACTTCTCAGAACCATTCGGAATAAGTTTAAGTCAATTTTTCTTTGGCATTACCAGGTAGTTGTCTAATGAGAGGCTGTCTGTTTATTTGGTTCCTTGACTTCTTCGTACCTCCTAGTGAATTACTGGAGATCTGTGAACTCAGCCTGGACAAGATGGGTGCAGTGTTTGAAGACAGTAATGTTTATATGTTACATATGATGTACCAGGCCATGGGTGTCTGTCTCTACACACAGGACTGGGAAGGTGCGCTGCGTTATGGGCAAAAAATTATCAGACCATACAGGTAAATATCAGACTTTTTTTTTCTAGTGCTGTAATTCAGTAATTTGAATAATTAAGACAAGTTTGGGCAGAAATCACTTCTCTCAGTACATGTTGTATAAACACACTACCCATGACATCACTGCTGAAAAAGGGGTGTTAAATGCTGGGACGCGTTTTGTTACTGTCAGAATGTGGGGACCTGCAATATATAACAGAAGGTGACTCTGAAATCCTTGCTTTGAGTTCTCAAAGTAAGTTTACACCACCTTGGGTACTGTGCTAGATAAATACTAGGGTTTTTTTTAAATGTCCTAATACTTTACTAAAGCAGAGCTTCGAAGTGCATCCACAGTCAGTATTTTGTGTAAGGTAATGGCGGCAAAGCCTGGTGGTGGTGTCAGCCCCCTGCCCTCTCCCAGTCCTTCCTCTCTGCAGTAGCACAGTGGACGTGGTTGCAGGAGAGCAGAGTCCTGTCCCCGGGCTGGGGCTGAGCGGCAGAGGGAGCTGGAGCTGAGCTCAGCCCCTGCGCTCAGAAGCTGCCGGTGCCCTCATGTCCCTGATCTCCACTGCCCCAGAGCTGGAGGCATGGGAGAACGTGCTGGCTGAAGCCCATGTGGGGCAAAGCAGCACGTGGCCTCTCAAAGTAAAAACAAACACTCTCTCCGATGAATTTTTCTGCGTTCTTAGGGTAGTGATCTCCTTCTTTAGAGCCAGCCAGATACGCGCTGTATCTGATCCTGCCATGAATCTCCCAAGCAGATTCTCATCTTGAGATGTGGCTTTCTCGCCAGCTGGGAGCACAAGTAAAGCTCTCCCTTTGGAGCAGATGCCAACGTAAAGTCACAGATCACTTGGCAGAGAGCAGCGATACAAAGAAGGAGCCAACGTTCCCCCCGCCGGGGGCTCAGTGCTATTTATTTTCCCTGGGACTTGCCCAGCTCCTCTGGCTCCGAGCCTGGCATTCCAGGTCAGCTCTGCTGACCCGGACTCTGCGAGCTCAGTGTGTGCGAGCGCAGAATGGCTTGTGCGCTGTACGCGCTGCTGAGGGCCCCTCGCTTTCCATGAAAGACCGGCTATTGTGGAACAAGCCGAGTTGCTTCTGCGGGTGTAGGGTGGCTCCAACAACTCGTCACAATGCGGTCTCTTTCTGTAGCTGGCGAGGTGAAAAGTAGTGGCAGAAAGTCATTGCCATCTGACAGCTGTTCAGAGGCATATGGTAGTTTCAGTTCAATTCCCAAGTGACAGGCGTCCCCATCCCAGACACAATTGGCACTGATCTTGGCAGTCATGGCAGAGGGAATGAGAGGCGAATGGGCAGGGGCAACGAGAGGCAGCTTCTTGCCCCCTGAGAGGGGGATGGGAGCTGGGAGAATGCTATGAAACTGCCAGGTTTGATAAAGCTGAATTTCCTTCTCTCGCGCAGCAAGCATTACCCCTCCTACTCGCTGAATGTTGCCTCCATGTGGCTGAAATTAGGGAGACTGTATATGGCACTGGAGAATAGAACGGCTGGAGTTAAAGCCCTGAAGAAGGTATTTATTTCCTGGTTTCTTCATTAATAATACCAGTTCAGACATGGGATCACTGAAACACTACGTGCTTCTCTGTCAGTAAGCCTGGCTTGGTAGGAAGTGCACCATGTGTTAATATATTTGGTTACTAGATTTTTGGCTCAGTTCTGATTTTTCCAAAGATGCAGAAATGGGTCTGTTCTCGCATGCAAGGGGTCGTACCTTTTCACGGTGGACTTCTGCTACAGCAGCTGGAGTGAGCATTATGCCTAAATATTTGATGTACGTTCTTCACTGAACCAGAGCTGTACTAATGTAATTGAAGCAGAACTCGAGCTTCTCCTCACGTGCTAGGTAAGGACAGAAAAAATGCTTGGGTCTTATAAAAGGCACATAGTGTTTCATTGCAGTCTGTGATATCCATGTCCAAGTCAAACTAGGCATGCTTTTGGTGGTTATTTGTCCTGGAACCAATTGATTTTTAAATAGCTGAAGGGAATTCAATGCATATGGTAATGCTGAAATTGGCAAATATAGCATTTGGTTTTACATTTTTCTTCACCCCTTTTTGTTAGTCTGTTCCTTATTCTTCAGGTTTTAATTCTTCTGTTTTTTTATTAGTCTGCACTGTATTTCTTGACTTTCTTCCCCTATTGTTGTTGGACAGAAGTTTATTTTAGTTTCTTAAGCATCGGTGACTACTGTAGCATATAATGACTTGGTGTGGAATGTCAGTTTGTTGTGTTGGTTTTTTTTTTTTCTTCCTTTTTAGATGCTGGCAAGTTTTTAGCCAGCAATAACAGAGCCATCCAGCCATGGTGAAAGATGCTACAAGAATATATGCTCTAAAATTTAACTGTTACCTAGTTTAAAATTAGCATAGGTTTTTCCTTTACTGTGGTGTTAAAGTTTTGACTAAAACTGGGATTTGTGCCAGGAGGAACGTGGGATGGAGGGTTGGGAACTCTAGGTAGATTTGTTGGCATAGTTAGCTTCCTAACACAAACATTTTCTAATGACTCACTTCCAAAAGCTGCCTGCAGGAACTGCCCAAAGTTATCCCAGCCCCTGATGTTTGGGATTTAGTGGAAAAACGAAACCATTGTTCTCCGTCAGTTTGCGAGCAACTTGGCCAGAAGGCCCTACTTTCTGCTTTTGGGCAGAAGGGGAACGGAGTCATTTCTCACTGCTGCTGAGGTGGAACCAAAGGCTCTTGAACTGACCTCACAGATATAAGAGGATAATTCCATAACAAATGTCCCGAGGAGAAAATGACTAAATGCTCTCTGATGGCTACAATGCTGCAATTCCGTGCTTTATCTTAGTGCTGTGGTCTTTAAATCTTCTCACTTACTCTGAACTTGCTTCTTTTGCTCTGACCTACTGCTGCCTTTCATTACATCCATTTGGGGCCACTGCTATCCTTTTTTGAAATGGAAATTTTGCCTCCACACCCACTCTCCAACGCAGTGTGGATAGTGGGAGGAAAGTGCCAGTCAGTGGTTTTGGCTGCCTGAAGTATTCTCCCTTAGGACCAGAGCAGGCTGTAGGTGAAACGACAAGGAGCTGGGCACAGCAGTGTCTGTCTGAATCTGACAAGGTGTTGCTTTCACCTCAGTGGCTGCCTAGGATCAGTCGCTTCCTTCGTAAAGCGTTGGTGGCCCCTGGAGTGGGTGGAGGGTTTACAGAATCAAATCTGAAATCATAGAATTGTAGGATGGTTTGGGTTGGAAGGGACCTCAGAGATCATCTAAGTTCCAACCCCCCTGCCATGGGCAGGGAAACCCTCCACTATACCAGGTTGCCCAAAGCCTCATCCAACCTGGCCTTGAACACTTCCAGGGATGGGGCATCCACAACTTCTCTAGGAATGTCTTAATGTACCTTCTGCAGTAGGCCTGCTCGTCAGTCTGACAGCCGAAGGATAAATTGGTAGCAATACAGCTCCATCTGCTACTGGTTAAGTCTCCTCTGCCAGAGCATTACCCACCCCACTCACAGTTTTCTGTCCTGGTGCTGGTTGCATTCAAAGTAGTTTTGTCAGGAATATCGTTTTGAAAGGTGCTTTGGGATCCTTTAAGATGAAAGATGTATTCTCTGAATGTAAAACCTTTATTACTTAGTCTTGAATTTCATTTTATTTCCTACTGGGTTTATGACTACAAGGGGACAAAAAGTAGCTAGAGGTGTCAGACTGTTTCAAACCTCTAAAGAGAGTATTTATAGCCTGGTGTTATATATGAATCAATTGTGTGAATATTTTTTTTCTTTTCATAGGCAATTGCTATCATGGAAGTAGCACACGGGAAAGATCATCCATACATTTCAGAGATCAAAAAGGAATTAGAGGACCACTGAGCCTTTGAATCTATGCAATCCTTCAAACCTTTATTTAAAAAGCCTTGTTATGGAAACCTTCAGGAGCGCTTTGAAAAGCGGTAGAGTATGAACACAGTTCTGTCCTATAATTGGAATGACAAACACACTCAGGCCTTGCAAAATGTTCCTAGCTTCCACACATCTACAATTGCCTTTTTTTTTTTTTTAAGGAAGCATCCATGATTTCTTAAAGGTTATGCCTTTTGACAGCTCATGTCTAAAAATGGCCATGTTTTTCCTTATGGATTTTAATTTGTATTTTATTTGTGTAAAGTAAATAAAGTGGTTTTGATCCTTCTTGATTCCACTTGTACACTTACACGGGTGCAATAGTTTTGTAACATCAGTTTCGTGACATCCACTTTTGCCTGAGTTGTTTCATTTTATCTGACGAATTAATTAGCAAAAACTGTACTACTTTTGTAGTGGTTTAGTATCCGATTCCTCTTTTCCCAAATCAATTCTGCTTGCAGTGGCTCAGCTGAGAGAGAAAGGGAAAATGGGCGTGATGAATTCTGCACACCGTGCAGGAGAGCCACCGGTGTTCCCTCAGCCTGTTAATCTGCAGGCCCATCGCTGGTCCCAGCAGCTGGGCATCCCTCACTGTAAGGACCCAGAGCTCAGCGTGTCCTGCACAGAGAACGCTGGCACCTACCTCAGAGCTCGAAGGCTTCCACAAGGCACGAGATGTGCAACTTCTGGCTTTTTAATCCCCTGGACAAGTTAGAGTGAAACTAGTGCAGAGGAGAGCTCATCTTTTCTTATAGCCATACCTTTGCCTCCAGTGGATGAAAACTATTCTATTAATGCATTAGCAATTACTTTTAATAGAGGAACGAGAACATTTTCTGAAGAAAAAAATCCAGGACTTGGCTTTCTCTGCCCATATATAAGACCAGAGGGTGGGAGTTTTTTTCCTCCATTTAGATCAATGGCAGGAGATTGCTTTTAAGGATGAGGAGGGAGAGCGTGGCTGTGTACCTCCAGCCCCAAAGTTGAAATATGTTGCACGGTAAATCTACCCGACCATTCCTTACTACTTTCACAGCTTATAAAGTACAATGAGTGAGAGAACACATCACCCTTATGGACTTCATCATATTTTCTTTCTGTGAGCGCTGCTCTGAAAATAAAACTGCTGGAGAACAAGGGTTGTCAGCTCATTTTGCTGAAAGCTTTCCTTGCTCTTTAGCCAGTAGTTGTTGCTGGAGTACATAAAACTGCACCAGCTCTTACGATTCCAGAAAGCCACAGCCACTTAACTACAGCCAAGCCTAGGAAGAGGGCACCAGCTGACTATTTTTATCCTAACTTTATCTTGTCAAGTAAACCCTTGTCCAGGGAAACAGCACCTTCATTTCAGAAAGTCCGGCCAAAGCCCAGACAATACTTCAACACTAGAGAATTGGATTAGCTGAGCATGAGCACCAGCAGGAGCCTTGCCCCTGTGAAACTTGGATTACTGTTTGCAGAAGGTTCTTCAGCACTCACGGTGGCCGTGGCTGTGCCTGTTGGTTTAACACAAGCACGGTAGGTGCAAATACAAACCTTAAGCTGGTACAGGAAAGAACACAAGCACGGTTTTCCTTGAAAAAAAAAGGGTTTATTGTATACTGTGAATATGAAGGACAGCCTTACCAAAAAACCTTAGTGACTGAAGACATTCTCATATTTGCAAAAGCATATAGGAAACTATTTACACAAAGGCAGTGAAGGGTAAAAAAAAATTACTGCAGTCAATTAATGCTGAATAGACCTTTATAAAAAGAGAAAGAAAAGAAACAGTGCAAAAATACTGTCAAAAGTAATCAGTTCTATACACAAGATAAAACTGACAAGCATAAGCTTATGTACTGATATGAATAATACATTAGAATATAAAATAGCATGCATAGATTTTTTTTTTTTAAAGGCTTTCAATAGCATAGAATAGTTCTGCCATTCAGCCCTTACAGGAGGGAGCAGGGGGCAGGAAGGGCAAGTAACTGATGTCCCATTTCTCTACAACGCGTGTACATACAACGAGGTGGTGAGATTCAGATCACTGTTTTGTACTAAACTGTCATGTACAGAATTACAGAACAAATAAAACAGGAAGCCTCAAAATACTGAAGTAAAACAGGACAGTAAAATCCAGTGACATAAAATTTACTTAAACATGTTATTTAACACATCCCACACAATTATATATGGGAATATTACAGTCATCTGCATGTGTAAACTTTTTCCTTTGTAAAATAGCCAAAGAAAGGTACTTTACTAATGAGGAAAACATGTTTTCCATATGGAGCAATCTCAACAGGATAAACATCCTATTAACAGTGTTTCTGGCACTAAGGATTTTCCTTTTAAAGACTGAGTAGCAGCAAGAAAATACTTTTATTTAACATACACAAAAAGGAAGTTCTTGTAGACATAACGTGTAATTAAGTTGTGGAACTCACCAACACAGGACAGTGCGAAGGCCGGAGGAATAACGGGTTGTAAAGAAAAGGTAATGATGTGATTCATGGAAGACAGATCCATCAGTAGTTACTCAACACAGCAAGCAGGATATAACTTTCGCCTCTGGAAGTCCCTAAAGGTCTGGTTGGCAGGTGTGCTAGAGGGGCTGAGCACGCTCTTCTAGATGCATTTGTATTTCTTCCTTGAGTGTCAACTACCAGCCACTGTCCAATATGGTGACCTCCAGACTGCCAGGGAAGTAGTTTGTGGGAAGCCTTCCTGTGTTATTCCTGCCTGTCTAATCAGGGAACACTGCCCCTGAAATATTGGAACTGAGTGTGCTGGGATTCTGCAGTGAAAGCTGCTATTTTACCACGGACTTCCAGTTCACCCTCCAAAAGCAAAAGTCCTGCTGTTGCAGCATGGAAGTGCTGCACCCTCAGTGAGGGTGCACATACAGCACAGGCAACAAAATGTCAAAGAAATGCCAGCTGAAAAATGGCTGAGAGGAACCAAGGGAATTGTAATCCAAGATACTCTAAAAACCCTGACAAAACTTATTTACTGTAAATATTTAGATAAACACTGCTATTTTTGACCTGTGCACTAAATGTTTTGTTTCACCATCTAACAATAGTTAGATAGTTATTCCCATAGCACCAGATTCTACAAGAAAACTTCTCTAGAAGGTTAAGAACAAGCTGGGGACAATTGCCTTTGGGGTTCTAGACTTGCAGCCTTTCTCTTGTTGGCATCAAACTCCATCCCCAAACTCCCTGTGACTTAGAATATACATAGAATCATAGAATGGTTAGGGTTGGAAGGGACCTTAAAGATCATCTAGTTCCAACCCCCCTGCCATGGGCAGGGAAACCCTCCACTACACCAGGTTGCCCAAAGCCACATCAGCAGAGTCGTATCCATTTCCACACAGGGATGGCTAAAAGATGTTTTGATGCGGGTGCTTCCCTTTCAAGGTCAGTTCTGGTATTTGCTCCTTCAATATGCTGCGTCCTTTATTTCACGCAGCAGGTGCCACCCCGGCTGTCTGGCTGTAAAGTGTTCTTTTCCGCAAAGACAAGCAGCAAAATTTAACTCTGACCTCTCTCACTGATGCACGAGAGCTGCTACAGCAGATACCAGCCATACTGAGGCTTCCACTTTCTGAGCACACAGTTCACAGACTTAGTGAGGCTGACAACAGCTAATTCAGTCGTCATCTCCTCCCAGGAGACCGGTGGGAAGTCAGCTGTTGAGAATGCAGCATGGTCAGTAGCTGCTGAGTTTTCCCCAGAGGTTTGTGTGCTATATCCAAGTATGAGATTGCCCATCAGCATTTATTTTACAGTCGCTTGTGGGCTACACAGACATGGCAGGTATTGGATCAAAAAAGAATAAATAAAAAAAAAAAAAGCTTAAAATGACCATCTCTATTGAAGCCCTGAGACTTACTCATTCTTTTCCAACCTACGTTTTGTCATTTGCATTTCTGGGTGTTTACAAGAAAGTAATTGTTTTAAAAAAGCTCTTGAAACCATGCAAATACTTAATAATATTTGTAGCTGTGGCAACTGATTTAAATAAGTGGAACAGAAATGTCCTTCAGCATACTTTAGAAAAAAGACTGCATTAGCAATAGATTTAAGTTCTCACAGATGTGTCTCCTGCCAGCTGAAACTAGTTTAGGGAAAAGGTATTTCCTACAAGGCTGAGCATTTAGGGTCCCTATATATGAGAAAGTTTGTGGGAATAAGCTTCATCTTTCCTCAGGTAATCAAGGACAAGGGCTGCCGAAGCAGGCCTCTGGAGGAGCTGGAACAAGTAGGACCCAAGCAGCTGATGTCCACCATCCTCCAGCACAGCCTGTGGAGAACAGAAACAGGACGCCCACAGCACTGAGCAGTGTCGGAACTCAGCTGTCATCAGTCCCATCTCTGATCGGACAATGTTGGGCATGAAATGCTCAGACCATAACTTTAACCAAAAATTTGATGCCAGCAACCTCGATACTATCATTGGTAAGAGTTTAAAGTGAAAAAAAAAAGGGGGGGGGAGTTACTAAATACAGACAAAGTGCAGAAAAAGGAAAAAATACACAATGGATTCCTAAGTCAGACATACTTATCCACTCGAAGTTCTCTCTCAGAAAGAGTCCAGGAGCGTAGGCAGCAACATGGGCGCCTTGGGAGAAGACTGCTTGTGTCAAACTTCTAAGGTGCAGCTCCGTTCATTGGCCATTGATGCGTCTTTGTGAGATTTCCAATCCAGACTTCACTCCAAAAGGATGAAACTGGCCTCTTAGAACCCACCCACTATCATGCTTTGGTGTTAAAAAAGCCATGCAACACAACACACAGCAACTCCACAAACTGTCCTCCTTTTCTGCCTAAGGACTCTGCTGTTAAAGTCTGAAAGGCAGAAACTAAACAGTCCTGTTGCTTTAAGTCTCACGTGTTCGTTCCTGCTATGACTAATAAAATTGGATGCAAAATGCATTTTCCTGTCACTCCCTAAAGGTTAGGAAATACTGCCCAAGCAATTCTGGTCTGATAAAACTAGAACAGGTTCAAAGTCAGAAGGTTCAGCTTTTTCCCCCTACAAAACTGTATCACATTTCAATCATAAAACATCAGCACGCTGAGGTTTGGTTGCAAGCTGGGGTGGAAAGGAACCTCTGAAGACGTGCACCAGCCCAATTCACTTAGGGTATTAGCAGATCTAGTCAAGATAAAATCTAGCTGGAAAAAATACATTGAAGTCAGATGAAAGGAAAAGTTTAATATTACCGTCCTTTGACAATGAAAGGGAAAAAGTGAGTCACGTTGGCCTCTATCTGCCATACCAGCCACGTTAG